CTGTGGTTTAACAGCCTGTTGTGCCCAGGTGAGGTGGAGTTGGTAGAGACCCACGGGGAACCAGTGAGACACCCATGTGCCCTCCGCATACAGAAGAAACTGAGGCCAGGCAGTGGGGCCAGGACAGGACGGGCTGCCTGTTTCACTTCCACATCCCAAACGTGCACAGGGCAGGTGGTCCAGACACCGAAGGGGCCGCTTTGGTGTCTGTCCAACCCGTCATTCCCTTGGGGCCCCTCTGAAAGAGTGCGGACTCCCCCCTAGAAAGGCAGGCGTCAGCCTTTCAGACTGGCCTAACCGCTGCCCCATCTCCCACCCTCCCCCCTTCCTCCAGATGTGGGCTCAGCTGTATTTTTAGAACAGCCCTCCCCTGGACATTCTTTCCTTCTAATTAAAGATGACTTCAAATCTCCCCTCTGCAATCAGCCCAGTTGTTCAATCCTCAAATATCAAAGGGTGGCCAGGAGGCGCTGCCTCAGCTGGCTGTAGGCTTGGATTTGTTTTCTTTCTTTTTTAAGTCATTAAATTGAAAATGAGACCCAGAACCTGAGTGAATAAATGCCAGCTCTGGGGACAACAAAGCATGATTTGAGTAGAGACTGCAGGAGCTGCCCCAAGTCTTGTCCTGCACACCCCCTTCCCCACCCTGGGCTGCAGGCCCCCCAGCTTAGGGTCTGTCTGGGGCAAGAGTGGGGTTCACACTCCATGTCTGTCCAGGGTCCTGTGTCTGCCCTTGGGATGCTCATTACGGGCACACAGGGGCCTGACGAGCCCCAACTCCACTCTGCTGCCAGTCCCGCTCCTTGAGTGTGGGAAGCTGCACTCCTTGAACACCCATCAGGCCACACCCACCCTAACACTTCTTCCTCACCAGTGTCCAGCGATAGAGGAGGAAACTGAGGCTCAGAGAGCTGGCGAGCTTGGGACTTCTCAGCCCAAGGGAGAGGAGTAGCTGCCCAGCGCGGGGGTCCACATCACTCACTTCATTTGAACTGAAGGACCAGCCCTGCTAGATTGATCTCCTGGAGTAGAGCCCAGGCTTCTGGGGTCCAACCCAAGCCCTGACTCTAAGTTGCAAAGGGCCTCAGGCCCCTGGTCCAGCATGGAGGCAGAGGCAGGGTGGGGTGATGCCAGGTTTCTCAGTTTCCGCCCAAGGCCCTGAGCCACCTGGCACCTCACTGCTGGGTATGGGGATAGAGGAAGTGAAACTGCCCTGGGGTAGGTGGCATGGGGCAGAGAGCAGGGACATAGGTCACAGCTTCCTTTAAGTGCCACTCTACCTAGAGGCGCACGGAGAAGGCCTCTTTCCACCTACTGTACTGGAGCCTGTGCTCACCCTGAGCTACAGCCCCATCCCTATTTATTCTTTGCTTTGAAGCCGGGTCTCGCTAAACTGCGAATTTGCGATCCTCTCGCCTCTCGATGCTGCAATCACAGGCGTGTGCCCCTCTGCCCTGTGTTAGTCCCGGCCTTCCGCAGCGGGCAGGCGCCGCGGGGCAGAAGACTGGAGAGCCCGGGCTCTGTCGCCCCCTCGCGGCCGTAGAATGTCTCCGCAGCAATGGGGAAATTCCAGAGCACGTTCTTTTGACACCCCTTCCTCTCGGCAGCAATCCCTCGGTTTAGGGCGAGGCCAGCAGGTCCCCCACCCCATAGGGTCAGCCAGCCCGGACTCGGCAATCTGACGAAGAGCAAGGAGTTGTGGGGGTGAGGTGGGGGTCGGAGCTTGACCCTCCAGAGCCTCTGTCCGCCTTCCTCCGGAAGAGGAGCAAAGCCACACCCCTGTGAGTGTTGAAGGGATTAGCTGTAGGCACCTGGGGCTGCGCAGGGTGCATAGCAGGGAGCTGGAAATACAGCTGTCCCTTTCAGCACTCAAACCCGAGTGCCAGTGCAGGTTTGCTAAGGCAAAACCTCGCATTTCCTGGCTAAAGAATGATCTTATTGAATGGTTGTCAAATTTATGTGCACAGTGGCGGCTCTGGGACTGGCTGGTAGGTGGGTTTGGGGCATCTAAGAGGAATTTCAGGCAGAACCAAAGGGGACCAATCCAAATTTTGTACCTTAACCACATGACTGTCTTCAAGCTTCTATATAAATTGTGTATTCTTGCATGACATAAAGTATGAATTTACATGTTTTCAAACTTAATATAAAGACAATATAGTGTGTTTCTGCAGTTTTGCTTTACACAGAATTGTGATTCAACCAGTATTGACACTCTTTGTCTGACCCACCGAGTATCATGCCACAGTCTATCAATTTCTTATTTTTGGTGGTGCTCGGCCTTGAACCTGGTGCCTTGTAACTCTACTCACATGCTCTACCACTGAGCTACATATGCAGTTATATATATTTTTTAATTTTATTTATTTATTTATTTATATGTGTGTGTGTTTGTGTGTGTGTGGCCAGCTCAGCCCACCAGGGGGCGGGGCTGGCTGGCATGTGGTGCTGGGGGATTGAACCGC